CTTTATTTATTAACCAATCAGAGCCACACATTCACAGCATACAGAGTGATATCCACAGCAATTATCCTCCAGCCTACACACATGCCCACCAAATGTTCACATGGACAGACAGACAGACACACACACACACACACACACACACACACACACACACACACGTGAATATGCACCCCCACACAAAAACAATTACTAGGTGGCCTACGAAGATATCAGTTCATATTACAGAGACTGTATTGAATCCACACTGTAATAAATTTTGGTCAAAACAAAAATGTTGATCACAAACAACAACAACAACAACACATAGTAGCATCAGTAGATCATTTCTATGACAGAAAGAAACAAGTAGTTCTGATTCCCGAGCAAATAATTAGACATAAAATATATATGTTAGCAGGGCAGTGAAATGGAGCCTGATGATCTGAGTTGGATGCTTGGGCCCCCATGGTAGAAAGAGAGGATCAACTTCTACCAAGTTGTCCTCTGACCTCCACATATGACATGGCATGTGCACACACATACACACATAAATAAAACCATTTTGAATACAAGTTAGAATATAAACAATTACAATAATAAAATAATATAAAAATAAGTATAAGGAAGTTATAAGATCCTTATATATAAGTTATATATAAGATCACGTGTTGGGAAAGTTTTAAAGACAGCCTTAGTTTTAACGAACAGAGCATTGACTCGTTAGCTGAGGTTAAGTAAGAGTCAACTCATTCAAAATGAAATCATAGGAAGTCACTGGCAAGTGTGCCCACGAGGAAATGTGGACAATACACCACCACATGGAAAAGCGCTCAGTCTTGCTAGCTAGCAGAACAAGAACAAGAGAACTTTTAACACTACCACAAACCAATTGGACAAGTCCGTGGTTAAAACTATGTACTGCTCTTTCAGAGGACCCAAGTTCAATCCTCAGCTCCCATATCAGGCAGCTCACAACTGCCTATAACTCTGCCTCAGGGGAAATCTGATGCCTCTGGTCTCCATGAGCATGTGCAGTCATGTACACAGACCCAGACATGCACAGAACTACCAA